CACAAATCCTTTAATTCAATTATTTCAGCACAGTCTGAATAAGGTATCACAATTATTAAGAGATATGAAAGTTGCTATATTTCTTATTTGAGTGCATTCCAGCAAGATAGAGGCACTTTCAAAGTTTTTTTTTTATTATTTGAAAGAACTAATAAGCAATACAGAACAGTTCCTGCTGTGTGCTTTAGCTGTGGGAAGCAGAAACACCTACTTCCCCTGGATTCCCAGATTATTTACAGGAGTTTCACTAATGAATCCCTCTTGAGGCCTTATTTCTGTGTTAAATCTCCTCTGAAAGGAACATTCCCTCTTCTCCTCATACCCACACCCAAATAAAAGTCCAAAATGTAATATGCTTCTTCCTGTTTAAGGACACATAAAATTGGAATCCTTCTCTAAGAACAAGGAATGAGACTGCTGAAAACCACAGATGAAACTATTTGAACATTTACGTCATGGCTGGGAAAGTAAACAACATTTTTGGAGCCACCACTGAAATGGGGATGTTTTCAAAAATAGTTTCTCATTGAGTTTTCATGGCAAGGCTCCTCCTTACTCAGAGAGGTCAAGTGTACCCAAGATTGCATAGTGAGTGACATAGCCGAAATTTCAACCTGTTTGTTTCCACATAAACTCAACCTGTTATAACATTATAATCTCTATTTTTAGAAAACTTGTTAGTCCAAGTGGAAAGAGGTTCATAAAGGTAGCTAAGGAAAGTGGTTAACCATTTAAGGTTGCTAGGTCTTTCCAGAGATATTAGCATTGTCATAGTACCAGCTTCATTGTTCAGTGACCTGTACCACCACACAGGACCCTGTGCTAAGAAGGAAGCTTTGCTTGGGTTAATGATGTGCTATTGATGCATTAAAATTTTCAATAATATTTGCCCTGACCAGTGTTGCTAAGTGGTTAGAGCATTGGCCCTTGGAATGAAAGATCTTGGGTTCAATTTCTGGTCATGGGCAAGTATCTGGGTTGCAGGTCCAATCCTGGGTAGGAGAAGGGAAGGGAGAACAAAGGGGGAGGCAACCAATTGATATTTCTCTTCATTTCCCCCTCCCTTCCATTCTCTCTAGGAATTAATGGAAAAAATATCCTTGAGTGAGGATTAACAAAAATAAAAGTAAATAAAATCTCAATAATTTGTAAAGGAAATATCTATATTTTCATTTTGCACTGAGTTCTATAAATAATACAGCTGGTCCTTCCTGTGAAGGACAACAAGTGAGACTAAAGCTTATAGATAAGACAAGCTTCCTTGAGGAGCCAAAAGGTGGCGAGTCTCAGTGTCAGGGTCACTGGCCATCTGGAATAGAATAAGGTTGAGTGCCATAGGCAAGAGATAAAGCCTGGCCCAGTACTAGCAAGCAGTGTTACGGGAAGAAACAATGAGATACATGCCTTAGGCCCATTTTTGCAAATTGGAAACATGTAACTGTATATATTTTAAGAATGGGAATATGTCTACAGACACATATTGAACCCTTTAGAGTGCTTGTGAGAATGGAAATGTGACGGGGAGAGAGAATGAAGGGAGCAATAATAAAATAAAGCAAGAGAATGGCCAAGCCAGGGGTTTATAATGAATTTAAGAGTTTGTGTAACTCCACTCTGGGGGAACAAAGTTTTTAAATAGATAAAGAAAGCCCTAGCTGGTTTGGCTCAGTGAATAGAGTGTCGGCCCCCGAAGGGTCCCAGGTTCAATTCTAGTTAAGGGCATGTACCTCAGTTGCAGTCTCAATCCCTGGCCCTGATAAGGGTGAGTGTGGGAGGTAGCTAGTCAATGTGTCTCTCTCACATCATCCCTTCCATTCTCTATAAAAGTCAAAATCATTGGAAAAATATCCTCGGGTGGGGATTAACACAAACAAATAAATAAAATAAAGATAATGAGTAGATAAATAGTTAAAAGAAAACTGAGTGGTTAGCTAAAGTCACCAGAGAATCATAGAAAGAAATTAAAAGAATGTTTTTTTTTCATCTTCACAGTTCAAAGGGCTGAATACACATGAATCAAGGATACCAGGAACTGTTTTAATGCTGGGAATACCCAGATGAGTGAGATACTGACTCCACTTTTCAGAAATGCCATTATTTCCTCCTTTGACCAGTTCCACTCCTTTTGGCCAGCTCTGAAGAGGTGTTTTTTACATTCATGTTGTTTTAAATCTAACAAACACAACCGATACTGTATTCTGAGGTCACCTAGGCCCACTTTCCACAGCCTCAGGAAGCTCTTCTATTTCTCAACTTATGGAAGTTTCCTTTCCTTAATGGTCATGTTTGGTTAGCATTTCTGTCTTATGGAATCACTGTGGATACATATAACCTCTGGACAATCTCTCTTCTCTGTGTTCAGCTTTGCTAGGACCTTTAACTCTTGTCATAGACAGACTGGTCTTATCATTTCACCTTATTCTGGAACAACCACCCACTTCTAACCAACTGCTCAGATACCATCCATCTGCTCAAACCCCATTCTTCTGGAAAGCTGTGGAGGGTCACCCCAGAACAGAGGGCCACTCTATCCTCTGCATTTGCACTGGTTTAGGGGCCCCTGCTGCCTTGAATAACCAGTTATTTTGCCATTGGATTATCTAGTGTCCCAAATGACGGCAAGTATCTCAAAACCTTTTTATCAACAAGTCATGTTTGAGTACTCATCTTTATTGGGTTGACCCAATCTAAATAGCTATTCAATATTTTGGTAATTTTTAAAGATGGTATTCATATTGGGAGCTCCATTGGCTAAACCACAGATTGGATGGAAAATCTTATCCCTTAAAGAATGTTTCAAGATAAGCAATAAAATGAACTCCCAGCAAAGCAAATGTATATACTTTTTTAAGAAAATAAATTTATTTTCAAGGAAGACAAAGAGAAATTGTTTTCTCTTTCTGTTTCTAAAATCAGTTCAGCTAAAAATAAAAAATAAAAAACCCCTACTTATTTGATTATGCTTTAATACTCAACTGATCCATGAGATTTTTAACTGGTTTCTGAGAGGCTCAAAACTCTGAAAGGAAGCAGTTGATTTGTCTGGAACATAATGGTGTTTATCAGGAATTTGTACCTTTTAAAAATAATATTTGCTTTTATATATTCATATGGTTTAGCTTCTATATGTAATCAAACTGTGTAATCCTGTAATATAAATTCAGGATTCATATAATAAAGTATTTTTCAGCTAAAGGTTATTAGGTTATGATAAAGTTAAAATAAAAAAGCATAACTCTGATGTCATGTGTTTTTAGGGTTGTGCAGGAAAAAATTGAAAGGAAATGTACAAAAAATATTAATAATGCTTATCTTAACAATGGCTATCTTTGGTTTGAATAATTCACTTTTATTTTCCTTATAGTTTAGAAATTTTCTATGATGTACTTTATATAATAAATTTATGCTTAAAAATTTAATTCTTAAACCCCTTATGTCTGCAACATTGGGATAATGGTGAAAAGAATGTCTGTGTTTTTCTATTTATGGATATCAGCACTACAAATGTGGAATGTAAAGAATAATAAAAACTGTGTCCTATTAGAAATGAGATTATATGCTAACAAATATTCTACTCCAACTATTCTCAAGACTGTATGAAACCATAGTCCACAGTTAACAGTGAATATAACCCTAAGAAGGTCTACATTACGTGGACATGCCAATTTTTTTTTGTTTTCTTTTTGTTTGTTTTGAAGGAAGCAACTCCTATATATAATTGAGGTTGTTTTTTTGTGTTTACTAGTTAGGGATTTTGATAGAATTTTCACTGATAAAACTTGTTTGACACACACAGAATAAGTTCTTGTATAATTAAAAAAAATTCCTAGAGACATTTTTAATGAACTTAAAAAAATCATCAGTCATAAGTCGTTGTAATTGCATCTTTTATCAGTTAAACAAATATTCAAAGCAAACACTTTGAATGCCTCTGCGTACTGCATGTTCAAAGAGAAGCAAAAACAAACAAAGGCATCATGATTCTTATAAGGAAACTTCAGTCCAGATCAATGCAGTCTACTGCCTTTCCTGCCCCACCCAAATCCCATCCTCCTAAACATCTAATATTTATTTGGTTTGTCTTCCTTATTCTCAACCATTGGCTAGAAGTATGGCCCATTGTTTTCCAGAGCTTCTTGACTGGGCTGTACTGATAGCTACCAGCCACCCAACATATTGATAATAGAGAGTTCCCTATGCCTGATATTGAATCAAGTATTTACCGTTCCCATTCAGTCTACTACAAATAGACTTTTGTTTTCTTGCAGATCAAAATGGAGCACCTGTAAAAACTCTGGAAAGTATTCATAAACCCCATATGCACACAGGCGTCCGTTTCCAAACCAGACAATGCAGAGGGAGCACCGTTCTGTGGTTGCTCTGCCCCTCCTGCCTCAGCACTTCATGGTTCCATTTTGCACATTCAAACACCTGCAAGTGGTAGCCATTAATTTGTGCAAAACCAAGAAATGTGAAGCAAATTAAGGGATTGGGGAAATATAAATGGAAACAGCAAGTAAATTGTATCTAGAAATCATACTGAGACCTCAGTGTAGAAAAACATTTTTTTTTTTAAAGAAAGCTGGCACAGTAGAGTGGAGTTAGGTAAGGTTTGCAATAAAATTCCAACTTTGCTACTGACAAGATATATTACACTAGTAAAGTTATCTTGTTTCTGTAAGCCTCTGCTTTTAGTTTGTTTTGATCTGTAAAATGAGAAAAAATAATACCTACTCCTTAGGGGGTTTGTGATAATTTAGATAATGCATCTCTTACACTCAATGCAGTGTCTGACACATAGTAATTATTTTGAAAAGATAGTTTTGCTGTAGAAGCTGTTGTTTTGTTCATTATTATTTTAGAAGAACTGTCAGTGGGCAGTGGTATTAGTGAATGATATCAGAATCTTTCCTATTTAAATAGTGGGCTATTCAAAGAGAGTTTTCAGTGCCTCTCTAAATTACTTGCATGTTTCAATTCATTTTTAATGTGTCTCTTACCTTTGCTTTTATTTTTAGTTCCTCGTGCTTACGGATTAGCTCCTCATTTTCTGAAAGTGATGAACCGAGACTTTGTTCCCGTAAATCTCTTATGGTTTTCTGAAACCAACAGGTAACCTAAGTAAAAAGCAACAGAGATCAATTTTCAAATGATTAGAATACTGAGTAAAAATTAAAAAATATTTCCTTAACCTTTCAAAACATAAGCTACATCAATTTCTCTTTGGATAAACTCATCTCATGTATTAAATAATTATGGTGGGGTTTTATGTTTTCTTCACTCAACTTCTACATTCTTCAGAGGAAAAAAAAAAAAAGTAATCCCTGAAAAGCATGAAAATAATATATCAGTCCAGATAACACAGCATGAAGAAAATTATTCAAAATCTCCTAACAAAGAAGAACCAAAATAGATTCCCTCTGAATCTCTGAATCATGCATGCTTCTAGAATATAAATCCCCTTTCCTGGATAAGAATGTGAATCTGAATACAGTTACATAGACCCACATGAAGATAATTAACAGCATAACAGCATATGCAGAATTATATTTCTATTATAAAAAGACAAGGCAAAAATATTGTTTGGTGCAGTTGCTGAAAATCTGTGTTCAGAAAATAAATGAAGAAATTATTAAAACTCTGTTGACATTATAAATGGGGCATAACTCAGATTCACTTAAATTTGATTTACAATACATACCTTACACTGTTAAAACAACAAATAGCAAAGGACTTGAAAGAAGTAGTACATTTTTAAATGATGACTTAAGTTGGCATTGAATTGATAACATGAAGTATCTGGCTGCAGATTATTTATCCAAATGAAAGGAAAGATACTTGGATTTTTACTCTCAAACCCTATGCAGTGTGGTTGCATGATCACATCATTGCTACTGATTTCTAAGAGCCCCCTACATGCTAGAAAGTTTGCTAGTTGCTTTTTGGGCATCATCTCTATTTCCCTCAACAACTCTATAACAAGCATGATATCATCATTTTAGAGATGAGGAGAGCTTAAGCAGCTTATCCAGGACCACATAGTAATGACAGAACCAGGATTCGTCCCCAAGCCTTCATTATTTAAAAGTTAATGTTCTTTCCACTATGCCCTGATGCCATTCTTGGCCAAGCTAAAGTCTTATAACCATGGGTATGAGTGGGAATTACTCCAAACCTGAAAAATTAATCCTGACAGTCCATTCAAAATGGTGGACACTACACTATGCTTTCCTCTAGCCTAGGCTCTCTTGTGTACAGCAGCCTCGGGATTTATTTGATCTCCTACAATATCGACAAATGTTTGAAGCAGGTGGCCAAGGAGAAAACTAGGTTAGCCATGGAGCTCCACACAATATGTACATACACACACACACACACACACACCACAGAAGTTGAGTTAGTGGTTACCTAGAATAGGACATTCCATTACCATTACAGGGCTGATACCACAGAGCTGGTTATGAAATCAAAGAGTCTATACAAATGCCTGGCATTTCTCAGCATGGAATAGGCAGTAAAATATGGGATAAGAGGGCTTCTCTGGCTACCTTCTAATTAGAAATCTTTGTTAGCCATCATTTTAGGCTGCCATCGATGCAAAGAAAAGAATAATGGTGATACTTTACAGTTTTCATGTGAAATGCACCTCATTTTCTTCATAATATTTGGTAAGCTATATATAATACAAACATTCATCAGCTCTCATATCTAAAATGTAATGTTTATGTATTACAACTATCTGAAGATAGTTTGTCTTTTTGGTATCCCAATTAGAAATAGATACTATGTATAGTGTGCACATTAGAACACACAGAGTACTTTATCAAGAGCTATAACATTTATTCATTTATTTAATTTTATACAAATAATTTCTCACAAAAGGTGCAGTGAGCCCATATAAAAACACAATTAGAGAAATGATTTAAAGGTTTCATCAAAGAAAAATGAATCATGACTATAACCAACTTTCAGAGATCATTTAATGTATTAAGTATTGGGAGTAAGTTTTATTTATTCTTAGCTCAGGGGAGAAGAACTCTGAAATCTCAAGAATGCTTCAATAGAGAAAGTTAATATAGAATCTGAGTGAATAAAAGTGGGTACAAACAGGTGTTTGTTAATCTCTAAAAACAGGTGAGAAGCCTGAACCCTCAGTAAATCTATTTAATTTTGTGAGTCAAAGACTTGTCATCTAGCACATGTCAGTGGAGATGAAAGCAGGAGAGGAATGAGTTGTTTGATTTTTAAAAGGTATCTACTGACCTCATCCCTACATTTGGCAAATACTATTTCAACCCCCAAAGAATATTATTCCTGTATGCCAATACTGTTCTCTACAAGTGAATGCAGTTAAAGGTCTGTGGTGATAGTGCATATATCCTGATCACATACCTGCCTGATGAAGCAAACTGACTCTCTAGATCTACACATTTTTACTACTGAATGCACGCTGGAGAGAAACGTAAAAACAAGTTGGCATAAAACTCAGAAATAAGTAGTTCACTGTGTGGGTGTTACAGCTCAGCGAGGCATTCACACACATGTGCAGCCTCTTAGATTAGATTTACTATGTGTGCCTTGGGACACATGCAGAACAGGCTCTCAGAGTTCTTCTTGTAAAAGCACAACACCCTAAATAACTAAGAGCTTGTCAACCGTAATATTCTGCCACCCCGTAAATCAGTCATGGTGCCCTGCGCGTACCTACTGCAGACAGCTGCACAGATATTCCAAGAGCGCTTTTTATAAGGGTGTAAATTATATCAGCTGCTGAGTGGTAAGTACAGTAAGTGATGCATCAGGACATTCTATAGAACATGGTCCCTACAAAGGATAAAAACATGTGGAAAGAAAAGAACAAAAGGCATTCAGAGTATGCACTAGAAATCAGTTCAAGAGAATGATAGTTTAAGGAGGAATAAGAACATTCTTTCTCTCTCTCCAGTTCCCACCTTTCAGCAGTGTTCATGGTCATTCCACTGGTTTGACATGACATGCTAGATCCTCAGTGCCCAGAGCAGGTAGAACTAAGATAGAGAAGGAGTGGGACAGATCTTTTTTACAGGGGAAGGGGACCACCTTTCTGAGAATGAAGGAAGACAGAGAGAAAGGAAAGGAAAATCAGCAAAGATGCAAAGAAGAAGCAATCAGAGGTGTTCAATGAAAACCAAGAGCTTTCTTGGATATTAAAGAGGGTGCCAGAAAAACTCAGTCAAATGGTGTAGACCTGCACTGTCCTATGTGTAGCCAATAAGCACATATGGCTATTGAGTGCTTGGAATGTGACAAGTCCATTTTGGGATGTACTCTAAGTATAAAATACACAGCAGATTTCATAGTCATAGTTTTAAAAATTAATAAACATATCTCATTAAGAACATTCATATTGATTTAATTTTGAAATACTATTTTGGATATGTTGTATTAAACACAATATGTTATTGCTTTTCTTGTTTTTATGAGTCTTTTAAACTTTTTAATGTTTTTTTTTTTTACTTTTTTAATGTGGCTACTACAACTTTTGTTTTTATTTTATTTTTTTGTTAATCCTCACCCGAGAATATTTTTCCATTGATTTTTAGAGAGAGTGAAAGAGAGAGACATTTATGTGAGAGAGAGACAACCATTGGTTGCCTCTTGCACATGCCACGACTGGGGCCAGGGTCGGAGCCTGCAATTGAAGTATGTGTCCTTAACTGGAATTGAACCTGCTACCCTTCAGTCTGCAGGCTGATGCTCCATCCACTGAGCCAAACCAGCTAGGACATGGCTACTACAACTTTTAAAATCACATATGTGGCCCTGGCCAGGTGGCTCAGTTGGTTGGAGCATTGTCCAATACACCAAAAGATTGCGGGTTATATTCCCAGTCAGATACTTACATAGGTTGAGGGTTTAATCCCTAGTTGGGCATGTATAGGAGGCAGTTTATAGATGTTTCTCTTTCACATCAATGTCTCTCTCTCTCTCTCTCTCTCTCTCTCTCTCTCTCTCTCTCTCTCTCTCTCTCTTCCACTCTCTATAAAAAAATCAAAAACATATCCTGAGGTGAGGATTTAAAGATAAATTAAATAAATGAATAAATAAATAAATACATAAAATCACATACCTTGTCTGCATTATATTTTTATCAGATGGTTCTACAACTCAAGGATTTTGAGACGATCCTTATTTGTAGATCTAAAGACTGAGTTTTAATTAGAGGCTGTTTAAAATAGTGAAATCAGGAAAATAGTGGGATGAAGCATTGGTTGGTAAGCATGTATGGACCACTGGGTAGGGATACTGAAGTTCAGCTAATAAGTTTTCCAAAGAAGTTTACTGGCTGAGCAAAGGAAGGATCAGATGATAGCTTTCAGAAAAGCAGGGGTACCCATAAGGTTTCTCCCACCTTTTTAAAATTTTTTGAATAGATGAGACATAAGCATTTTTTTGCAGGAACTGAAGATGCATGAAGGAAGATTAATGTAGGAATGTATTGATACCAGAATGGGAAGATTGGAAGTGAGCACTACTGAAGGTAGCTTTGGGCCAGGAAAGACTAGTCTTTGCTTGTTGAATACCTAATACCTACATTGACACACACCCCACCTCCAGATGGGAGATAAGAATAAAGAAAGTAAAATAAATGAACCCTACCTTCACAGAGAGGGGTCAGGTACTACTCTAGGCAGGTTACAAGTTATCTAACCTTTGTACCCCTCCTATGATGAAGATATTTACTTTTGTAATAGATGAGGAAACTGAGACACATATAGGTTAAGCAACTCATTTAAGGTTACACAACCAATAAAAAGAAAGTCCCACAGCTGAACACAGAAATGCCATAGTCAGAATGTATGGAGAACCAAACGGTGCCAGAAAAAAGAAATGGTTCTTAAAAGGCTAGTTTTTGAATGTTCCTAAGACAAAAACCAAAATGCAACAATATATTTATAAACTCTAATTCTAACATGGGAATAGGTCCTGTGTACAACCATGGCGCTCAATGGACACAGTGCATTAGAGAGAAGGAGTGCCTCAGAGGAAGACGCCAGCTGTGGCAGAGGAGGCAACAAGCACAAACTGAGAATTCCTATTCCTAAACAATACATGTTAAAGATGGAACCAAAACCTG